TCGACACAGGGGACACAGGTGGGGCCAGGGCCCGGAGGAAGGGGAGGGAGAGACCGGGGAAGACCAGACACAAGGACTCGCGAGGCCATGCCTCTGAGCCGAAGCAGAGAGGGGTGGCCAAGGCGGTGGTGCCAGAGGAGGGTCTCGTGAGACAGACGACGACACGAGCAGGGGGCAGACTCAGGACCAGACCTGGACGCTGCAGCAAACACCTGACCAGACGAAGGGACCCTACCAGACTCAGCACCTGGAGGAGAAGCAGTGGTCAGTGTGTACAGGCTCGACCCCGGCCGACGTGTAAACGTAGCCAGGTGGCGACCTGTATCCTCCTCCGTGCAGTGGGTCACCCGCTGACGAGCAGGGGTGAACTGGTGGACACCCGCATCCTGGAGGTCAGCACCACTCACCAAGTTCGTCGAGAACGAGGGGAGGTAGAGACCAGTCAGGGTGCCAGAGGGGGCCGCCGGACACGGGAGGACAGTGGAGAAGCGAGCCAGGACTGGCCCCCCAGAGGGGTCAGCCAGGGACACTGCAACCGGCCGACTCAGCGGCGTGAGAGTGGTGCGGTCCCTAAAGAAGGAGCGAGACGCTCCAGAGTCAAGGGTGAAGGTGTGAGAGGCCGAAGCCGACACAGTACCTGAGAGGGCAGACTCACCAGCACCTGAGAGCACAGACGCACTGGCACCTAGAGCAGCAGCCTCACTAGTACCTGACGCGGCAGTACCAATGCCCGGGTCGGGCGGGAAACACCGGTAACAGTCATCCTCATCACTACCAGTCACAGCATACATAGCAGAGAGAATAGCATCAAAGTCAAGATCATAAATAGCTACTCCAGCCCTAGACAGCTCTCCCCAGCGGGGGATCTCAGCGGCCTCCGGAAACTGCTGACGCCAGGCGTCGGTCAGGCGGCCAAAGCAGCGACGGGCTGCGTGGGCGCCTCCACACCTCTCCCCCGCACGGTCACCGGTGCGAAGAACGTAGGGGCAGGGACCAAGAGCACCACCGCGCTGACGCTGCAAGTACCACTCACGGAGCTGCTGAGGGCCGGGGACGGTGCGAGAGCGCTGCTGCTGCTGCGGCTGCTGCTGCTGCTGCTGCTGCTGCTGCTGCTGCTGCTGCTGCTGCTGCTGGCGCTGACCACCCCCAGAGCTGCTCCGCTGGGACGAGCCACTCCGACCCCCGCCTCCACCACCACCCCCGCCTCCACCGCCACCGCCGTCTCCACCGCCACCTCCCCCACCAGGACCGTCGCTCCCACCGCTCCCACCGCCTCCTCCGCTACCACCTCCGCCGCCACCTCCGCCTCCACCGCCGCCACTAGTACCTCCACTCCCGCCACCACCTCCACCGCCACCCCCACTCCCCCCGCCACCCCCACCTCCTCCGCCACTGCCTCCTCTAGATCCACCCGCTCCCTTGCCCCCCTTGCCCTTGCCAGAGCGGCGTCTGCCGCTGGGGGCAGACGCCGCACCGACCGACTCAAAACCAGCGAGGTCGGCCGTAGCAGCAGAGGCGACAGAGGGCAGCAGGGGGGAAGGAGAACACCCCTCAAAGATGGGGGTGCGAGGGTCACCCCTAGAGGCCCCTACAGCGACTAAACTCTTCTCAGCCGCTAGCAGGGACGCCTCAAGGAGGTCGACAGTGAGGGTGGTGGGACAGACAGAGAGAAACTGGTCCCTAACGACACGAAGGGACTCAGGAAGACGGGTGACGAGAAAGTAGAGAGTGATATACATGGGAGGAGGGTTTGCGGCGCGGAACTCAGCAGGAAGGGCAGCGCGGTAGCGAGCGTCACTAGCGCGGAGGTGGGTAACGAGGTCAGCGACAGTGGGAAAGGAAGCGAGGTCAGGGAAGAGAAACGGTAGCATGAGGCGGCTAAGGGTAGCGGAGGAAGGGGAGGAGTAGCGTGCAACTACAGCGTCGTACAAGGCCCGAGCGGTCTTGCACTGACTAAAGTGGGCACGCTCAGAGGAAGGGAGGTGGCGACGCACAGCAAGACGTGCAGCAGCATCGCGGGTCGCCCACTTGGAGCGAACGGCAGAGTCAGCATCAGCAGGCGGGGCAGGGACAGCTCCAGAGACAAAGTCAAAGAGAGAGACCTCATCTATCGCATCACACAGTAAGTACAGCTGCAGGTCTTCAATCCAGACGGCAAAGTCAATGGCCCTCCCCTCAGCGTCAAAAGTAAGAACATTGGGGGTGGCCATGGCAGCAGCTGAAAGTCTCACCGGGCTGGAAGAGTCGGGTAGGTCAGCAGCAGAGGAACACAGCTCAGGGACAGCAGCACGGCTCCTCAGGTGGCTCGCGTGGCTTAGGCGGCTCGGGCGGCTCGGGCGGCTCGGGCGGCTCGGGCGGCTCGGGCGTCTCGCGCGGCTCGGGTGGCGTAGGGGCTCACGGGCGGCGCGGGCTGCTGGGGCTGCTCACGTGCAGCACGGCGGGCTGCAGCAGGGCCGGTGGTGGGCTGTAGCAGGGCCGGTGGCGGGCTGTAGCAGGGCCGGCGGCGGGCTGTAGCAGGGCCGGTGGCGGGCTGTAGCAGGGGCCGGTGGCGGCTGTAGCAGGGCCGGTGGTGGGCTGTAGCAGGGCCGGTGGCGGGCTGTAGCAGGGGCCGGTGGCGGCTGTAGCAGGGCCGGTGGCGGGCTGTAGCAGGGCCGGCGGCGGGCTGTAGTAGGGGCCGGTGGCGGCTGTAGCAGGGCCGGTGGCGGGCTGTAGCAGGGGCCGGTGCGGGCTGTAGTGGGGCCGACGAGGGGCCGAAGTGGGGCCTAGGCGGGCCGGCGGGCTGTAGGCGGGGCCGACGCGGCGGGCAGTAGCAGGGGCCGGTGGCGGGCCTAAGCGGGGCCAGCGCGGGGCCGACAGGGCGTAGGTGGGGCCGGCGCGGGGCCGAAGAGGGGCCTAAGCGGGGCCGACGGAGCCTACGCGGGGCCGACACGGAGCCGAGACGGGGCCTGGGCGGGGCCTACGCGGGGCCGACGAGGGGTACGCGAGGTCGACGAGGGGTACGCGAGGCCGACGAGGGGTACGCGGGGCCGACGAGGGGTACGTGGGGCCTACGCGGGGCCGACGAGGGGCCTAAGCAGGGGCCGACGAGGGGCCTAAGCGGGGCCGACGAGGGTCCTAAGTGGGGCCGACGAGGGGCCTAAGCGGGGCCTACGAGGGGCCTAAGCGGGGGCACGACGGGAGGGGCGACTCGGAGGGTCGCTAAAAAAAATGCGCGCCTCGGGGCGCGCTTCGGTGGGCCCTAGGAACAGGCCCTAGGAAGGGACCTGCTCTGATTCCATGAGAAAGTACGAACGAGAAGTGAAATGACTATGAACGAAGTGAGTACAAATAGGAAACCCTAATTGGGTTGTACCCCCTATGGGATACCCCACTATAGCCTACAGAAACAAGTAAGCTATAAGTTCTGACAAGTGCTGCTTCCGCCTTTGGCCCGCCCTTCCCCCGTCAGGTGGTTTGGATTTCTAGGAATGTGGATCGAATGGAACAGAAGCTAGCACATGCACATGCGCGGGGAGTGGGGAGGGATGTGCTTCAGAAGTGGTTCTCGATATAAAACTCTTCTAATCGTGTACTTCAACCCAAAACACAGAAACCTTACTGCAACACCTACTTGTAGCCTCCAAGGCTTACGTAAGAATCTTGACAGGATGAAAATCATTATCTTTTTTCTTACCATAATGTCGTTAATTTGGAAAATGTATTCATTGCTATACCGTATTAGGGTACCCATAATACAGCCAGGTTAATGTATCAAAAGACGTGGTGTTGGAAGATCTCTTACTGTATGTGGGTGTATGAATCTGTGAAGGGAAATGATCGGATTGGGGCCTCGAAGTTCTAGGAATAGAGCCGACTTGGGGCCTCGTGTGTCGCGATGTTTCGAACCTGGTCCGGACCTGTCTCTAACCAATTTCGGGCCTCACCCACGCGCTCCGTCAGACCTGACCACTCGAGGTGACGGATTTCTGAAGGGACAACGTGGCAAAAAATATAAACCCCATACGGGCATGCATCCGGTCAGGGAGGCATCAACCCTAAACACGCCGTCGCATGTTTTTAGGGTTGTTGCCTCCCCAATTTTATGCCATCCAATAAGATGATATTTTTTTTACAACTAAGAAAATATTTTGGGGCTAAAATGTTTATTTCTGGGCTATTTTGCTGAAGTATCTGTACTGCCCATTTTGAATGGTCTGACGAGCACTGCTCCCGTGAACCAGGGTGCTAGCGAAATCCGTCAAGCCCAAGCCAGCAGGTGGTGACGTGGCGAGCTCGGCCGCTTAGGCTTGTGGGTGGCTTCGGGCCTCCTTCGTAGGATCGCGAGTCACGAGGCCCCAAGTCGACCATCTTTCTGCTAATCCGAGGCCCCAGTATGATCATTCCCCATCTGTGAATGACGGGGATTCGCGCTCTTTCTTTCGAAATTTCATGCCCGAATTTTTAGAGGACGACACGTGGCGGTCATCGCCAGCATCCCCTCCTATACCGCGGACGTCATAGGGGGCGTGTACGTCTTGTACGATTAGAGCGACACGCTACAACAAAAGGGATAATTCAGCACAGCAAAACAGGACAGACTCTCCCATAGTTTCTGACGCTTACGTAACCCACGTCCACGCCCTCCGTACTTTCTGCTGCCTCGTGTTCACTTCTCGGCACTTCGCTGCTGTCGCGCAGTCTTGATAGGCGTGCACAATACCGACTAGTAGCAGCAGATCGACGTGGGGATCGAGTCGCACCTGACCACCCTCCTCAGCCGCGTCGCTTATTCCGCGTTTCGTCGACTCGCTGAAGCCACCTGCAGCCGTGTTTTGTGTCGACTAAAAAACGTGGCTCCTGACCACCCTCTTCGGCCGCGTGGCTTATTCCGATTTTCGTCGACTCGCTAGCGGCGATCAGGTGTGTATCAGAGATGCGCGGATCGGGTTAGTATCATGTGATCGGGTTTACTAACGCGCAGCGATTGGGTAGCCCGTGCCGCAGGCGTGATGTGACGTGACATGCTCCTCTCTCATCTAGTCCCCTTTCCATTGTCCTTTTCCCCATTCCGATCCCCGCGTTACGACACAACTGCTGCCCCCCTACCCTCCTCTCTGCTCCCTCCTCTCGCGTGCGCCCTCTCCTCTCGCATGCGCCCTCTACTCTTGCGTGCGCTCTTCCTCTCGCGTGCGCCCTCTCCTCTCGCATGCGCCCTCTCCTCTTGCGTGCGCTCTTCCTCTCGCGTGCGCCCTCTCCTCTCGCGTGCCCTCCCTGCTCACACGCCTCCCCTCCTCACACGCCTCCCCTCCTCACACGCCTCCCCTCCTCACACGCCTCCCCTCCTCGCACGCCTCCTCTCCTCACACGCCTCCCCTCCTCACACGCCTCCCCTCCTCACGTGAGAAAGCTGAGAGTCAGCAGGCAAGGGAACAGAGAGGAGCTATTGGCGAGTGCCAGGCGCACGCGAACCTTGCTATGATATCTCCTGCTCCCTGTTGATGTAATTCTAGTTGATCCCCTTTTCTCCCTACCCCTGCCGGTCCCGCTAATGCCTTCTCTACAAAGCATCGCTACATCCGATCCCTCCGTTTTCCACTGTGACACATTGCCACATCCGATGCTCCCCTTGTGCGCTCCCCTTGTGCCCTCCCTTTGTGCCCTCCCGTTGTGCTCTTAAGTTTGTTCTTCCGCCATGCCAGCTCCATGTCATCATCACCTGTGAAGGCCGAGGCATCAGAAGCTACACGGAGAGGCACCTCTCAACCCCACTGAACCCCCCCGTGCCTCCAGTTTGGCCCTCCATCAAACCAGCGCCAAGTCATTTTCAGGCAAGGTGGAGGCAGTAGACAAGGCAGAGGCATCAGCGCAAGAGAAGCCGAAGAAGAAGATATGCTGTGCGTGCCCCACGACCAAGAAGCTGAGGGACGAGTGCCCCCCCCTGACCCCCACTGGCCCCCTATGTTCCCCTTCTCCCTGCCCTCCCTTTGTGCCCCTCCACTTGTGCCCTCCAGTTTGGTCCCCTTTTGAAGCGGCATCATGTCTTCACCTGGGAAGGGCGAGGCAGCAGCGCAAGAGAAGCAAGAGCAGCAAGAGAAGCCGAAGAAGAAGATCTGCTGTGCGTGCCCGACAACCAAGAAGCTGAGGGACGAGTGCATTGTGGAACACGGGGAGGAGGCGTGCACCAAGTGGATCGAGGCGCACAAACAGTGCTTACGAAGCGAGGGTTTTAATGTCTGACTGGGATTATATAGGATAGGCTCCAGTATGTACTGTTGATATGCATGCAAGAGAAGAAGAAATGCTGTGCTGATGAGTGAGAAGCTGAGGGACGAGTGCATTGTGGAGCATGGGGAGGAGGCATGCACTAAGTGGGTCGAGGCACACAAACAGTGCTTGCACAGCAAGGGCTTTAAAGTTACTGCCTCATATGGTACATACATGTACCTGCGTATATGCAGCGATTGCCTAGTGGCATCCCCCAACTTCCATCCTCATTCAAGTCACACCCGGAAAAGACTAGGCAAATAGAATCAAACACTCACGAATCGGAGACATGGAATTCAGCGCTCAAACAAAACCCAATGATTGTTGGCAATTGTCAAATGTTGAAGCCTGTAGCGAGGCATGTCATGTGGGGTAAAGTTGTTAGGGTTAGGTATAAGTACCCCAGCTCACAATAATACATACATCATTCAGTTTCTGACATGGTATCGCCTAGGTTAGGATCCTGTTGGATCCCGTTCCTCGCTCTTGAGCCTCTCGCGCCCGTTACGCCTAGCCTACAACGCCTGTAGCGCCGTATCGTCGCGCCCGCCCCGTCTCCTCGCGCCCGTCGCGCCCGCCCTGTCCCCTCGCGCCCGTCGCGCCTCCCTGCCCGTCGCGTCGCACCTTGCCCATCCCGTCGCGTAGCGCCCTGCCCGTCCCGCCGCGCCTCCCTACCGGTCGTGTCGCGCTCTACCCGTCCTGTCGCGTCGCGCCCGTCGCCCCCATCACGTCCCGTCCCCTCGCGCCCGTCGCACCTCCCTGCCCGTTGCGTCGCGCCCTACCCGTCTCGTCGCATCGCGCCCTGCCCGTCCCATCGCATCGCGCCCTGCCCGTCCCGTCGCGCCTCCCTGCCCGTCCCGTCACGCCCTACCCGTCCTGTCGCATCGCGCCCTGCCCGTCCCGTCGCGCCTCCCTCCCTATCGCGTCGCGCCCTACCCGTCCCTGTCGCGCCTTTCACTCTACCTGTCGCGCTTTGCACTCTACCCGTCGCGCCTGTGCCGCCCTGCCTCTTGTGCTCCTAGCGCCCTACCTGTCGCGCCCTGTTCAGGCCTTCTAGACGTCTGGCAGCCGTAGCTCCCTCCCCTCCGCATCAGCTATGGCAGCGCCTAGGGTCCTGTGCTTTGAGGCCTAGGGTCTGGCTCCTCCGTGCGCAGCACCTGCTAGAGAGTCAGTGTCAGGCTGACGAGTCACTCTGGGCGCACGCCAGGGCTCTTGCTAGGATTTAGGCCTGTCTGAAGTCCCCCCCCCAAAAAATCGTTTTGTCTGACGTTCAGACGGGCAAAAAAAAAAAAAGTCTGATTTTTCAGACGAAAGTTGGAGCTTAGTCTGATTCATAAGACAAAATGTTTTCCATGGTCTGTTTGCTGTATTACACTAGTCAGCCATGAAAACGGTATGATTCAGTCTTTACGAAGTACGAAATGAATGCGCGACGTTGACAACCTGCTAGCAGACAGTCATAGCAAGTTGGGCGCCTAGGGGGACTTGGGGGGGGGGGGGGGAAGTTGGGCTGCGAGGGACATGCATGGGTGGGTCCGTGTCTTACGCGACGGACCAGGGGGGTGGAGGGACTTGAGGGGAAGGGGGCTGGGCTGGGAAAGGTGTAGGGGAGCTAGGCGGGGGAAGGGGGGATGGACTGGGGTTGCGCAGCGAGAGGCTGGGCTGGTAGAGGGGTGACTTGGTGGTGAGGTTAGGTTAGGAGAAGCGCATGAGGGACGGGACTTAGGGCAGGGGGGACTGAGGGGAAGGGGGGGGTGGGAGGGGGATGGGGCAGGCCAGTACGGTACTTTCGCGGTATCAGATGAAATTGTACGCGCTTTCTGATTTTTCAGACGGAATATAACACTTAGTCATTACGGAAAAAAAATCATTCGTCTTGTGGTTCAGATGAAAGAAAAACTATGGTCTGGAAGATCAGATGAAACAAAGAAATCAGGTCTGATTTTCATACCATCAGACCGATTTGGTCTGATAACCAGAGCCCTGGCGCACGCTGACCTTCTTGCGCCCTCTGCTCCTGAACCCCTAGGCGCTGACCCCACCACTGTGGACAAAGTGTTTTGCACGTCAGCGTGTTGCTCTGACAACCTGGAAGTCGCGCGACGCCGCGTCCTGCATCGCCCTCAGCAGCCTCCTCCCTAAGTCTGAGAAGATCCACTTCACCCTGGTTCGCACTGCAAGCGAGTTCCTGATTGTGATCAAGGCCCGCTACTCCACTCCCACCACTATCTCTCTTGGTTGCCTATTCCTCCCGTTCCTATTTCCTGACCTCGCCTCGTTTGAGCATTCTGCTGACTTGATCGCTTACCTGCGTTTCCTAAATTCTAGCTACCGCGCTGCCTACACTGATGCACAACTTGCCCCCCCCCCCCCATGGTGATTACTATTTACTTTTTCGTTACTAGCCCCCCTGATCGCTTTGCCACAGTTCACGACACACTTCTTTTGAAGCACCCTAGCGAGCTCACTATCGAGGTCCTTGAGTCTGCCCTCAAGTTTGTTGAGAGCAACCTCTGCTCGGTAGCCTCCGCCTCTGGTGCTGTGCCCCTCCCACTGTTCCACGGGTGCACTGTCCCACAGCTGCCCACCTTTACTGCCTCCCTCGCCGCTACTGCAACTGACAAGACCGCGGCTGCTGACACGACTTATGCACGGTCTAGAGTTAGGAGTGGCAGGAGGGGCGGCCAGGGTGCAGCCAGCAGCGGAGGTGGCGTGGCGAGTGGTGGTGGCGGGAGTGCAGGTGTTGGTGGAGCGCCTCGTGCAACTTCTAGTGGCTCCCCTTTTGCAGCTGGTGGAGGTGACGCTCGGGTTCGTCGTGCACTTGCGGCACTGCCAGCTGCAGGTGCTGGGGTGGCGGCCTGGTACCTAGCTCAGCAACAGCAGCAGCAGCCAATGCTCTCGCAACAGCCACTGCTATCGCAGCAGCCACTGCTATCGCAGCAGCCACAACAGTAGTATGGGCAGCAGTAGGTTCAGAGGCATGGGCCAGGACCGCGTCAGCTAACGCGTGGTGACGCCCACCCACCCTGCCCCTACCTCATCCAGACACGTACTTGTAGTTGCCTCCGCTACGACCGCAATCACCCATCGGGTCAGTGCTTTACTCAGCTCACTGACAGACTTCGCGCGGCCTATGGCGCAGACGGCCCTGCCCCTGACTAGCTTCCACTTGTTCTCTCGCATGGTCCCGCACTCTAAGACATGTCTGCTTGTCAGTTATTTGAACACTTAGGAACTGTAAATGCTATGTATGCTATTGTTGACACTAGTGCTTCTGACTCCGTTTGCTTGCGTGTTTTTAGCTTAGTTGCTAGTGTTGATCCAGTGCCAGTTGCTAGTGTAGGTACTTGCTTAGGTACTCGTCTAGGTTCTACTCTGGCGGACACTTCGCTGTCTTTCAGCCTGGATTCCGGAGCTTCCCAATGTTTCTTCCGCAACCACACGACTCTTACTCCGCTTCCTGCGCCAGTCTCTATAGCACTAGCTGTTCCCACATCGGGACCAGTCATTGCTCACCACTCTACTATGCTTCCATGCCCGGCTGTTCCCTTGGAATCTCTGACGAGCTTCCACGTCCCCTTGTTCTCTAAAAACTTGGTGGGTGTGCAGTCGCTCATGAGTCAGCACGTTGGTGTTTGGTTTGAGCCTTCTGGGGACTCTACAACCTGTGTGGATGGTGACACGTATGCCTCCCTGGCCACCTTTTGCCAGGAGTCAAGGTCTGGTCTCTACACCCTTCACACTGGCCCTCGAGAGAGGAAGCATCAGCAGCAGCAACAGCTGCCTCCGACCCCTGTCACTGCCCCTCGTCAGTTCCTAGCGTCCCACCAGGTAGCTGTGTCTGGTCAAGTTACATCGCCTAGTCAGGTTGCTGGTGCCGGTCACTTGCCCACCCCACCATTCTATGGCACCACCGTCTTGGTCACCTGTCCCTTCCTCGTCTTCACACTATGTCTAGTCAGCGTCTTGTCATAGGCCTCCCGCGAGTCTTACCATCGCTGCTGCTTTCGCCTGCACCTCCTTGCGGCCCTTGTGCCGGCTGTGTGCCACCCTTCACTCCTCGTCCCTTCGTCTGGCCACCGAGCTCTTTAAGACTTTCCACTTGGACGTCTGGGGCCCCGCCTCTCGCCTTGGTCCTGAGCAAGAGAGTTTCTCTTTCGTGGTCGTCGACAACTACTCTCGCTACACCACCGTTTTCCCTTTGGCAAAGAAGTCCGACATGACTTCTACGCTGATTCGATGGTTGCTCACTACAGAGGGTACTCATCACCGCCGTGTCAGTTGTCTTCACTCCGACTGTGGGGGTGAGTTTCGCTCCAGCGTTCTCTCCGGATTTTGTCGTGAGCAGGGCATCCTCTAGTTCTGAAAGCTTCCAGAGTTCCTACAGCAGAATAGGGTTACTGAGAGCCGCATAGGCTTGGTCAGGGAGATTGCATGCACCACCATGATCCATGCCCGTGCGCCCCATTTTTTGTGGCCCTACGCGGTTCGGTACGCCATTCACCAGCTGAACCTCTGGCCACGTGTCTCACGGCCAGGGGTTTCACCGACCAGTCTTTGACTGGGTCCCCTAGTGTTGCGTCGCGTTTCCGTGTCTGGGGCTGCTTGGCGCGTGTTCGCGACACCTCCGCGGACAAGCTGTCCCCTCGTGCCCTTCCCTTTGTCTTCCTTGGCTTCCCAAAGGACATGTCTGACTTCACCTTCTACCATCCTCCCCTTCACCAGTTCCTTGACTCCCGTGACGTCTGTTTTGACGAGTCAATCCCCTACTACACCCGGTACACCTGTCGAGGTCTCTCGGTTCCTCCTCCCCCTCTCTTCTTCACTCCCACTCCCCCTCTTGCTCCTCCGGTACAGCCCCCCCCCCCCCCCCCCCCTTGTGTCGTCTAGCCCTGTCAGGTGTGTCACACGCTACCCCCCCCCCCCCCCCCCTTCAGGTCCCATCCCCTTCTCCGCAGTCCTCCTCACCATCACCGCAGCAGCCGTCAGCACATCCTCCACAGGCTGCTATAGATCCTGAGGGTACTGGTGTCTGTAGTGCGGACCCTGGAGGTGTTGGAATTGGAGCTGAGAGTGTGCCTGCACGAGGTCCTGGTGCTGGGGGTGCTGAAGTTGGAGCTGAGCCCGTGTCTGCACGAGGTTCTAGTCTTCAGGGAGCTGGTGCTCGTCGAGCTGTCACTGGGGGTGCTACAACTGGGGATGCGGGTGCGCCCTGCTGGACCTGGAGAGCCTGGAACTGACCACGTTGCTGCTGGTGGTGCTGGCTCTGAGGGTGGTGCAACTGGTGCTTTGGAGAGCGGCCATGGGGCTACCACCGCCCCGAACACCACTCCTTCCCCCCACCCCTATCTGACCCGACACCAAGCCCTTCTTCGCCGTGCACGTGAGGAGCAACTAGAGTTGGAGCAAGAGAAGCTAGCATTGGAGCGGGAGCAGCTAGAGCTACAACAGCCAGAGGAGCAGCAGCAGCAGCAGCAGCAGCAGCAGCAGGAGTAGTAGCTGCCACATCGGGAGCAGCTGAGGTGATGCGCGACGTATCGAATCGCAAACGCCCACAGAAAATGGGGAGCAGCCACATGGATCATGGAGGTGTGAGCAACCTCCATAATCAAGCCAATGCGGCGCTCAAAAATCCCAATCTGCTGTGGAGATGCCGGAAGCGTGAACGACTAGGCGATGCCCCCTGCATGACAAAAGTCCTCGAGGAGGCGGGAGCAAAACTTACTGCCACTGCCAGAGTGCAGTCGCAAGACCGGGAGGTCTCTCAGCTGGAGATGAACAGCAATGATCCAGGAGATCAAAACACCGCGGACATCTGCCTTGCGCTGCAAGGGGAAGACCGTAGTGTAGCGCGTGTAGTCGTCAACAATCAGGAGGAAGTAGCGCTCCTGGTCCTGTCCACGGACGCGGGTTGGGCCCCACACGTCCATGTGGAGAGTCTGAAGAGGAGCAATGGTCGGCGGAAACGAGGAGGAGTGACGAGCGGCACGCTGCCGCCCCTCGACGTAGGGAAGGCACGGCGGTGCAGGCGAGCAAGGGAGCAGGGGCAGGGACCTGGGGAGGCCAGAGACAAGGAGATAAGAGTGCATGCCACGGAGGCGCGAAAGAGAGGGGTGACCAAGACAGTGGTGTCAGAGGAGAGTCTGGTGCGTGAGGAGCCGACACGAACAAGACGCAGCTAACTGACCCGACGCAGCCTCTAACGCGACGCAGCCACCTAAGCAGACTTAGTAGTCAGTATGTACAGTCCCAACCCGGGTCTCCGTATGAACGTGGTGAGGTGCTTGCCAGTGCGTGAGTCCGAACAGATCGCCATAACTCACCCCATGAGTAGTCGCGGTGACAATCTGGTCCTAGAGGACAGCGTTACTCACCAAGTTCGTAGTGAACGAGGGGAGGTGGAGACATGCAAGCGAGCCGGAAGGGGCACCGAACACAGGAGAACGTTAGAGGGACGTGCTACGACTTGGCCCCCAGAGGGGTCAGCAAGAGGGACCGAGACAGGTGCAGTGAGCGGTGTGACGGTGGTGCAGTCGCGGAAGAAGCAACGAGGCGCGCCTGAGTCAAGCGTGAAGGTGTGCAAAGCCTCCACAGAAGCTGCAACTGTGCTACCAGGCTCACAAGCACCTAGACTGGTAGCCTCTGCACTACCAAAGACACGTCGCTGAGAAACCCTCTCGTGAAGCTGCTGCGGCAAGAGGGTCTCTTGCTGACGATGTTGCCGCTGCTGTCTAGTACCCCAACCAGAGCGGCTTCGTTCAATCACCCACTTGCGAAGTTGGTGCGGCGAGAGAGTCTCCTGGCGACGAGAATGCCGCTGTTGTCCAGTATCTCTAGCACCTGTGAAATCCCAAGCTCCAGAACCAGAGCGGCCTCGCCGAATAACCCACTCGCGAAGCTGCTCCGGCGATAGAGTTTCCGGTTGACGCTTCTACGACCATGATAGTGGCCATGATAAGCAGTGGCAGTTAGTAGCAGCGGCGCAAGGGCATCAGTAGCGACTGTTGTAGCTGCAGCTGTAGAAGTAGCGGTAGTCGCTGTAGTGGCAGGTGCTGTGGCTGCAATAGTAGTAGCGATTGTAGGAGTGGCTGTAGAGGTCAGTAGGGTGCGTGGGCAGCAGAGCGCGCACGGGTAGTAGGGCGCGCACTAGCAGCAGGGCATGCGGGCAGCGGGGCGCGCAAGCAGCAGGGCTTACGGGCAGCAAGGCGCGCAGGGCGCGGGCAACGCAGGCACTTGGGGTGCTGTTCAGTGCGGGCTGCAGTGCGGTGCGCGCGGGCTGCAGTGCGGTACACACGGGCTGCATGGCACGTGGGCTGCAGGGCGGACGAGATGTAGGGCGTGCGGGCTGCAGGGCAGAGCGGCGGGCGGGCTGCAGGGCAGGGCAGCACGCGGGCTGGGGTAGGGCAGCGCGCGGGTTGCAGGGCTGCGCAGGCAGGGCAGCGCGCGGGCTGCATGGCAGGGCAGCGCGCGGGCTGCAGGGCAAGGCAGTGCGTGGGCTACATGGCAGGGCAGCGCGCGGGCTGTAGGGCAGGGCAGCGCGCGGGCTGCAGGGCGGCGCGCGAACACAGCGCGCGGGCTGCAGGGCGCACGGGCACGCGGGCTGTAGGGTGCACGGGAAAACGGCTCGCCTAGGCGCGATTCGGGCAGGAAAAACGGCTCATCTAGGGGCGCGATTCGGGCAGGAAAAACGGCTCAGCTGCGAGGCACTTGGCCCACCCGGTCCTGACAACAATCAGATCGGGTGAACGATCAAATGGCTAGAAACGCAAATCCAAATTTGACAAAATCGGCACACAAGCGAGAAAATCAACCCCTGACTGGTCAGACGTGCCGCGCTCGGGAAAAAATGGTTTCCCGCCCATGATTGAC